CCCAGGTCAAACCGATGACGTCACAGGTCAGGTCACATGTCAAATGTTCACCGTTTACAGGCATTTCAAGAAATGCCTTGTAAAATCACTGGTAAAGTCACTGGTAAGTCACTGGTAAAGTAACTGGTACCAGGTCAGGTCACAGAGGTCAGGTTACTGAGGGTCACAATATGAAAATATCATGTAATGCATGTTTTATTGTTCATTTTATATGTCAAATACGATTATATGGGTCAGGCAGCCTTTGGGGTCAGGTAAGCGTATGTTCTGGTGAATGTCAGGTCAAGGTCAGGTCAAGGTCAGGTCAAGGTCAGGTCAAGGTCAGGTCAAGGTAAGGTCAAGGTCAGGTCAAATTAGATCAAATTTTAAAGTTGACATTTTTGCATAAAATGGGTATCGATGCAATGCAGCTCATCACGGGGAGTTCAATGGTGGTCTTTGTTTTGCGCTACGTGGTCTAGAATTGCCATAAATGAGTTAAAAAAATTGACGTCATCACTTTTTAACAGTTTTTTTTTTTGCTATAACTTGGCCAAAAAAGGAGGTATCGATCTAAAATATGGTATGTAGATAGAAGAGGGTAGGGACTATCACATATATTCCGGCTTTTCGATATTCGATTTTTTTCGTTTTTTGTTGCGTTTTTCTAAAAAGATTTTGGGGATAAAAAAATGAAAATCTGACATTGCAGTTTTGTTGCGCCGCCTTTTTTCTACATGACCATATAAAGATGAAATTGCTAAGTAACTGTAGCTTTTGTGAGCGTTTCAAGATTTCATGTTTTTTGCTCGTTTTTGCTCGAACATGACCTCAGGGTGACCTCAATGACTCCTGACCTAAGGTAACCTAAGACTTGAAATTTGGTGTGAAGGTGTCAAATTGATGCCCAGTAAGTTACTGAAAATTTGGCGGCGCTGCGCGCTGCCGTTTTCTTGCTATTCAGGAAAAAACCACAGGGGGACAAATTGCCCACCCCCCCCCCAGCGGGGCGAGGGTTAACCTGCGATCCGTTGGGGGGGGGGGCAAAGAGGGGGGAGGGGAGGCCTGTGGTTTTTCGCAGTTAACTCAGAAACGGCTGCGAATTTCGACTTGAAAGTTAAAACTTTCAGTACCTCTCCTGACTTCAAATTTACACAACTCCTGAAAACATAGGTCCCAGGTCATGTCAGGTCTCGATCTATTGAGGTCAAACTAAGGTCATGTTCGGCGATTTTTCGTCGAAAAAATTGTTCACGGATAAAAATCGCAGAAAATCTGGGGTTCAACTTAGCAACTAAAAAATTGGACTGTGGGTATAAAAAAGTGTGGCGAACAAAATGGCTCTCTCGAAATTTCCAAACTATTTTTACAATTTCCAAACTATAAATAACTTTAACAAAACTATAAAACTATAAAACAAACTATACTATAACTATAAAACTATACTAAACTATAAAGCTATAAAACAAACTATAAAACTATAAATTTCCAAACTATTCCTAGATCTAGGGTTTTTCTAACTCAAAATTTAGATTTCTTGATATATTTTTGTGTGGAAAACCGAGCCACTTCTCACACGCTGTATTCCTTACGTCATCGTGTCGCGGCGCCAACTGCCGCCGCGCGCCCGAGCCGGGCCGGCGGTCCACAGTGCACACACAGCTGTGCGCCATAAAACTAGCGCCGCAGGCGCAGGAAATGCGGCCCGCCGGTCCCACGGCCTCGGCGCGCCCACACAAACACGGTCATAAGCACACACGCACAATACACACACGAGGCACGCTACATTCTACTAATTCATAACACAATTCTATTACACTCCCCCCTGATTTATAAATCACCATACTGCGTCAGTGTAGCGGGACGCCGCTCCCGCGTGCTCCTGCGAGCAGCTGCCGACTCCTCGCCATCGTGCGAGGCCCCCTCCGACTCGCCTCGAGCCGCAGCGTCGGGAGTGACACGCTGCTCATAAAAGATAATTGGGGCGCCCTCGTCGTCACTCTCACTTATCGGCGGACTCCTGCCCTCGGCCGGCTGTGGGAGAACGGCCAGCCTCAGGTCCCGCACATGGCGCGGCACTCCATCCACCTCAACACACTGTACAGACACAATACGGCTCACCGTCCCAAGTGAACTGGCCACGTCACAGCGGTGGCTCGGGTCCCTGACCCAAACCTTGTCCCCGACCGTAAAGCGGCTGATATCGGCATCAGCTGGCGTGTCTACATCTGGGACTTTCACTCGGTAATTAAACAGCGTTTCCATGGGGCTGGAGCTCTGATCCTCCGCGCGTGGCATCACGTTATAGCGATACGCCGCCTCCACCACCGAACACTTTTTCCTGGCCGCTAACGTTTTGATGGAGCGGTGGTTGCGCTCCGAGATGCCATTACCGGACGGGACATGAGCTGCTCGGTATCGAACGGAGACTCCCCACCGACTGACGAACTCATTGAACACGGCACTTCGAAACGATGGATAGTTATCCGTCAGCAGCTCAGTGGGAGCACCTCGCTCCAGGAAGATTGACTCGAGCTGCGCGATGACACTCTCAGCGTCCTGTCGCTTTAGGCGCCTCCAGATCGCGTAGCGAGACGGCCCACAGTCCACTAGGGTCAGGTAGAGTTGGCTGTCGGCGTGACAGACGTCCATGCTCACTCTTTCCCAGCACTCGTTCACCCCTAGCGTGCCGCGCACCCAGCGCTGCGGCGCAGGGTCGACCGATTGGCACGCCTGACACTGGCGGATCACGGCACGCACCTGAGCTCTGGTGACGTCAGAGCTCTGCCTCCTGCATAGTCTCAGGGTTCGTGCGATGCCAGGATGGCCGCTGGTGTGGTGAATCCGTGCGATGTCGGGCTCTGTGACGACGGCACCGCACACCATCGACGCGCCCTGCGGGGTCAGCCACTTTTTTGGCACTCTCGTGAGCGCGTCGGCCCGGTTCTCAGCCGATGGGACAAATTTCACGCAGAGTTGCATGGCATATTCTTCACCCAGCTTCTTCACTGTCTCAAGACGCCTCCGAATTAGCATCTCGCTCGCTGCCTTGGTTTTTACACGGGCTCTGCCAGACAGGACGTCGGACAGCCAGTGATAGACGGTTCGCGAGTCGGTCATGATCGTCACATTCTTCAAATTCCAGGACAGTGCCAGATTGAGCCCTCGTATCACAGCATCTAGCTCTGCGAGATTGATGTGGGTGTCCGAGCTCTTCCGCAGCCAGCAGGCGTCTTCAACGACGCAGTCGTTGATCTCCAGCACGGCCCCGATGGCGAGGGAGCTGGCATCGACCCATACCACACCTGCACCGTCTCCAGAGACATCCCACCGGCCCCGCGCGGGGTCAGATGTGTTCACACGCTCCACCATCTCAATGACCATTGCACAGAGCTCCGGGTCAGTGACCTCGTCATCCCATCCACTGGACACAGCGGTGACACGCCTCTTCAGATATGACGCGGCCACGCGGAGCCAGCCGGCTACAGGAACAAGACTGGTGAGTCGTCCGCACAGAGAGAAGACTGCCCGTCTCGTCAGTTTAGGGGGCGGGCTGATGTCGGTTCTGTCGCGCCTCCAGAACAGCCCGTCTCGCTCCCCCCAGACCCTTAGGCCAAGCACACGGGCACCATCGATCACACTTTCTGGCGCTTTGCAGTCCAAGCCATGGTTCTCGAGATGGGCCTTCACCTCTGCTGCGGTGGCGACCTCCTCATTCACAAATATGTCATCCACGTAGGAGGATGTCGCGCTGTCTATTCTCTGGTCCAGCCCGAGAGCCATGCTGAGCACTTTTTTCATCACCAGCGGCGCACAGCCGATTCCAAACCCTAGTCTCGTCAGACACCACCTTTTGCCCTGAAACACAACAGTCTGGTAGGGCCACAGAGACTCGCTCACATGCACCTGCAGGTAGGCGTCTTTGAGATCCAGAAGCGACACGTTCCGTCCGAACCGGCGCCACTCGCGAATTTTCTCGCTACACACGTCTGCGGCAGCCGTATGCGAGTCCAGATACTCATTCAGCTCTCTGAAGTCCATGACCGGGCGCACTTTGTCTTTGTTCGGCTGAATCACCGCCATCAGCGGTATTGTGCCCTTTGCCTGTCCGTGGACACGCTCGTCATAGGGAACAAGCCATCCGTTTGTCACCCACTTTGTCGGCTGTCGCTCATACTCCTGCCTGGCCTCTGACGGTATTGAGTACTCCTCCGCTTTGTTGAACAACTGTCCTGGCTCATCCCCACACCATTTCAATTGCACAGACCACTTTTTCTGGCTCTCATCGTAGCTCACAATAAAGTCCTTCTCCTCCTCGCGCCATATACCCGCCGCCGCCTCCGGCGCCGCCATTGCCCGCGTCTCGGTCACTGTCAGGGCCCCAATTGCCGCTGACCCAGATTCCGCCGCCTCGGTGGGTGCAGTCGACTCGGCCAGTGCCGCCGTCTCAGCTGCCACAGGCGCCGCCTCAGGCACCCGTCTCTCAGCCGCCGCCGCCGTCCCAGCTGCCGCCGGCGCCGTCTCGGGCGCCCGTCTCTCGGCCACCGCCGCCGTCCCTGCTGCCGCCGGCGCCGTCTCGGGCGCCCGTCTCTCGGCCACCGCCGCCGTCCCTGCTGCCGCCGGCGCCGTCTCGGGCACCCGTCTCTCGGCCACCCGTCTCTCGGCCACCGCCGCCACCCCGGTCGTTTCAGCTCCGAACCTCACATGGTTCTCAGCACTCACCGTCACGCCACCCAGTGCACTCACGCCGTTCATCCCCAGGATAAACTCAAAGCCCAGCGGCTTCCGTGACACCACAAGCACGCGCACTGATATCGAGTCGCCAGATTGCGATCGCACCTCCACGACACCCGTTCCCTCGCACCAGTATCGGTCACCGCTCACCGTCATCACGCTCACTGCGTCTCGACTCCAATTTCGACACACCGACACGTGCGCTACACACAAGCTGCATCCCGTGTCCAGCAGGGCGTCACAGGTGGCGCCGTCCACCGATAATCGCACAACGGGCAGCGCCCCGCTCACTGGAGACCGGGAGAGGAGGCTGGCGCCGAGCCCTCCTCTCCACCGTCGTTTTCCGGACAGGACGAGGCGATATGACCGGGCCGGTTGCAGCGGAAGCAGTGCACACTGCGCCGACCGCCGCGGGCCCCGCCGCGCTCCCGCTGACCGCGAGCAGCGAGACAATCCCGCGACAGGTGGTTGGGCTGTCCGCATGAGTGACAGGTCACGAGGGGTGGCGCCGCCGACGTCCGCGCTGCTGCTCCCGTCGCTGCTGCTCCCGTCGCTGCTGCCATGGCAGTCTCTTCTTCATCGGCGAGCACAGCTCGGGCCCGGCTGATTAGCTCGCTCAGCGTCATGCTTTCGACGCGGCTTCCTGCACGAAGCACACGGCGGGTGGTCTCCGGCAGTTTTGCCACGAACGCGCAGGCTAGGCCGCTGTCTGACATACCGCCAAACAGGCTGGACAGGCGACGCAGCTCTGCGACGAAAACATCCACCGGCTCGCCTCGACGGAGCTTCATCTTCTCAAACCGGTCATAGGCGTCAAACTTATCCTCTGCGAAAGCCGAAATCAGGCCTTTTTTGATGGTCTCGTAGCCAGCCTTGTCCTGCTCGTCCAGCTGCTGATAGACAGCGAACGCCCCGCCAGTTAGGCGGAGGGGAACGACGACGTGCAGCGCTTCGATGCCACGTAGACGGCACACCAGCTCCACCTTCTCCAGCCACTCTGTGACAGGCTGAGTCGCTCCGTCGAACTCAGGTATGAGTCGGAGATCGGCTGCAGCGTCCGCCGCACTCGCCGGCTTCACTCCACTCTCAGGCGCACTTTTCTGGTCCTTCATGGCTCTTACTCTCTGTCTCTCACACAAGGCCGAAATAGCTTGTGGAAAACCGAGCCACTTCTCACACGCTGTATTCCTTACGTCATCGTGTCGCGGCGCCAACTGCCGCCGCGCGCCCGAGCCGGGCCGGCGGTCCACAGTGCACACACAGCTGTGCGCCATAAAACTAGCGCCGCAGGCGCAGGAAATGCGGCCCGCCGGTCCCACGGCCTCGGCGCGCCCACACAAACACGGTCATAAGCACACACGCACAATACACACACGAGGCACGCTACATTCTACTAATTCATAACACAATTCTATTACATTTTGAAATTTTAAAAAATGTTCAAAGAACCGAAATATATGTCAGAGAACCCCTAATGTGTCTTACCCATGCCGAAAATAGGCAAAATATCTGTGTAAATATCTAATTTATGTGACTTGGCTGAAGAAGGGAGCCGAAGTGCTTTCGAAAGCTCTCAAGAAAACTATAAAGCTGGTGTCAAAACAACGTTTTTACACATTAATTATGTCCCAACTGAATAACAACATATACAACTAAATGACAAAATATATCTAAAACTGCCAGAGATAAAGCCATTTGAATGACTTAAAAAGTAGCGACTGTTCTTCTGACGTCACAATATTTTTGGTATTTGTTCTTGAAAACAGTCATGAGTAATGTTTATGATACTAATCAACCTCTTCCTGACTGAATATGATCCTTTACGTGAGAATAGTCACCTTTACGTAACAAAATGTTTTTCATTGTAAACCGCTACAATTTGACCTTGTTTGACCTTCCTTTGACGTCATAGGTCAAAGAAAAATGACCATGGAGGTTGCTGTGGATGCATATACATATATGACATGTCTTCATAAAGACTCGAACATTCACAATTTAACATGCCTTTATTTACGATTCACGAAAGTGTTTTCTGATTGGTTGAGGCTGACCTCGGTTGTGACGTCACAGGTCATCATCCAATCAAGTGACCATCCACATGCCAGATCTATCATAGAAATCATGTCCAGACTCATTTTGGAAACTTAAATTTCATTTTTATGGCTGACTTCTCGTCATTGTAAATTGGACTGATTTCACCTTGTTTGACCTCACTGTGACGTCACAAGTCAAAAATCAAAGTAATCGCTATTTCATCTTGTGCATCTTGATGAGCTCTTTCGAATGCCGTTTGAATTTTTCTGATCCGGCTATTGGTTCCGGAGATACGACGGGGCCGCTTTGCCCCCCCCCCCCCAACAGAACGTGAAACCTGCCAGACCTCAACGGGGCGCGGGTTAAACTGAAGGCACGCTGACCAGGAACGTTCGATCTGTCTGGTCCAAGATCAGTGGCCAGTTGGCCACAGAAGCTGGACATGTTGATATCTGATGTCACACGGACCGTATGCTTGCCCTCATCAGGGAGAAGGCGGGATGCATGTGTAAGAAAAGCGAACCTCTCATGGTTGTCATTTTCATGCCTTTGACGCTGGAAGGGTGTGACATTATTTTTGGGACACCCTGTACATGCGTTGAGAAGAGTGCATTTTTTTCCGATGTATTCCCAAATCACCACATGACCTCTGTAGTTCGTACTACGACCGTGAGCCGCGGCAAGTGGCGCCCAGGTCCACACGACCTGTGCGCCACCTGTATACACGACCTGTGCGCCACCTGTATACACGACCTGTGCGCCACCTGTATACACGACCTGTGCGCCATCTGTTCCCACGACCTGTGCGCCCCCTGTCCCCAAGACCTGTGTGCCACCTGTCCCCAAGACCTGTGCGCCACCTGTATACACGACCTGTGCGCCATCTGTCCACACGAGATACAGCTATCACAGTAGCAGCATGTCAGCGCAGGCCGGTGCTGCCATCTACCGCCTGCGCGCCGCACCACGAGCGCTCGGAGGTGGGACTCTCGGTGGGCCGGGGATGGGACTCTCGGTGGGCCGGGGGGTGGGACAGCTCTCGCTGGGCCGGCCGACCGGCCCGCCGCACGTCAACGCCAGCTCCAGCATACAGTCACTCACCAGCATCATCACTAGTTCTCTAAGTTCATCACCAGGTCTCATCATCACTAGTTCTGTAAAGTTCATCACCAGGTCTCATCATCACTAGTTCTCTAAGTTCATCACCAGGTCGCATCATCACTAGTTCTCTAAGTTCATGTTCATCACCAGGTCTCATCATCACTAGTTCTCTAAGCAGAAACAGCAACGCCTGCAGGGAGAGTCCGACCAGCCACTCTGTCCGACCAGCCAGGGGCACTCCGTCCCACCGGACAGGGGCACTCCGTCCGACCGGCAGTCGTCCAGTCAGGCCCCGCCACTCGCGGAGTAGAGGGTGCGATACCACCCGCCGCTTATCGTTCGCCTCGCGACTCGGTCCAGCCGGACTCGCCGCTCCCAGGGCCTCGGAGGACTCTCGGCGTCCTCTGAGGACCCTCGGCGGCCTCGGAGGACCCCCGGCGTTCTCGGAGGACTGCAGCGGCGCGCCGATCCGACCCCGCAGAGCCGGCGGCAGCGATGCAGCACTCTGCCCGGCACTCAGCACTCAGCACTCAGCACTCAGCACTCAGCACTCTGTCCCACACCGTGTCCTCCCGCTCGAGGGTCGAGGCGTCGGCGTCGGCAGCGACTTTTACCGCGCACCGATTGCTTTTAGCAAAATAATTTTAGCCTATGGGGGAGAGGCCCCCCATTGGTTTTTTCGTGATAGCTTCGAACACGCCGGCGATAGAGAGCTGAAACAAGGCATACCTGACCTTTGATTCAAGCCAGATCGTTTAACACCAATCGTATTTTCGGGTCAGGTCAGGTCACTGACCTATGACGTCATAAGTGAACCTCTGCACGGTCTTCAGATGTCGCAACTTCGCAACACCCTCACTGCAGTGCCAGTGGACCTATCACGGGGAAATGAAACTTGCAGGACCTAGTATCCGGAGTCCTGTATAGAGGACCTAAAAATGACGCCGTTTTTGGTACCCTTCTCACGAAAACCACTTGAACCGCCTAAAAACTATTTGTTTCACTCTGAAAATGTTATGATTAATATTTGATGGACAAATGAACAAGGAAAAGATATAGGTCCTGAAAAAATGCTCAACTCCTTATTTAAATATGACTCCAAACAATGAGGATATGGAAATCAACAGACAATACAAATACACTTACATTGATAAATAACTTTTTACATAAAACTCCTCTATGTAAACAACAAATCAGCCTATTTTTTAAATACAACCTTTTGTTTAACCCGCGCGGGGCTGGGGGGTAAATTTTACCCCCCTTCGCGAATTTTTGCAATATCTCAAAAACGGCGGCGCGCAGCGCCGCCAAATTATCAGTACCTATTTTTACATCAATTTGACACGTTCTCTGAAAATTTAAGGGAAATCCGTCGGAAAATGTTTGAGAAATTGACGTTTTAGTGACGTCATGTTCGCCATTTTAGCCTCAAAAACGGCAAAATTTCAAACGCCGCTAACATCTTCATTTTTAAAGGAATCAAGACGTAACAAAAAAGGTTATACGTAATTCTACTTTGTCTATCAAATGGTTATCTCAGTTTTTTTGTAAATGTTGGATTTTGACCCAATTTTTTTCTTAAAAAAACTGACTTTTTTGGAAAATAATTATAAAATCCAAAATTTTGACTTTATCCAAGAAACCGGAATATATGTCAGAGAAGTGGTCTATGTACACCTACATACCAATTTTTAGAAGCATCGGTTCAAAAATGTGGGAGTTATTTAAAATTGTATGACGTCACGACACACAATAATATTTAAAAAATGTTTTTTTTTGAAGTTCTAGACATCGTACGGAAACAAAAATAGCACCATTCGATTTGCCGTGAAAAACTGCATCAGATAGACACCTTTTTAGGCCTTAACAACCAACTTCAAAATTTGACCTCACTTGACCTGACCTTGACCTGACCTCGACCTGAAATTCATCCAGAGGTGGTCCATATCACTTATTGAGTGTGCCTATTGAATTCTATGAGTAAAATGACCCATAAAACATGTTTCGCACATGCCCGCTTCTATATTTTGTTTTTGGTGACCTGACCTGACCTGACCTTGACCTTGACATCTGAATGATATTGTATGCAACGAATATTGTCATGGTAGCCTAAGAACACGTTTTTTGGCAATCAGTCTCAGTCCATGACTCCATTCTTTGGCAACTACGGTGCAAGGCCGATACTGTAGACACGTGCAATTTGTTCCCTTGTCCTGACCTTGACCTTGACCTCAAAATTTAAATTTAGTACATGTTTTAGTTGTTCGTGATGAGATCTTTCGATTGGCGTTTGAATTTTCCAAATCGAACCATTAGTTCGGGAGATAACAAGGGGGGGGGGTAAAATTTACCCCCCCAGCCCCGCGCGTTCGGCTGGAGACCCCAGCCCCGCGCGGGTTAATAAATAATTACAAAATTCAATTGTGGGGAAAATATTTCTGCCTGAGTAGCAGGATCAGCGATGTTTTTAGCTTATCATGGGATTGGGAGATGTACTTTTAACGCTGGCAGGGGCGAAGCTTCCTATACAGTTGGTGGGGCGGTTGCCCCACAAACTTTGTATTTTGCCCCACCAATAAGCGTTTTGCCCCACCAACTTTAGCTGATTTCTAAGACTTTGTTGCTTTGCAATTTAATCTTTTTCGCAGTGAAGAGCTTTGGAATGTCTGTTTAATGCAAAATAATGTGTCTGTAATGATAGGAATTGATTAATTGTGGCATTTTATTCAACTTTATAATCGGACATTGTGGGTTTGACGGCTTTTTACCCCACCAACTTCCATGGAAAAGCTCCACATATGAACGCTGGTGGCAAATAATATAACCAGTAAAACGCCTTTTGGGCGAAGAACGAGCGAGCGAGATAGTGAGCCCTGCACGTGCAGAAGGGCGAGAGGGTACTTCCAACGGGCTTGTGCAAAGCACCCTTCTAGCCGGTCGCTAGCGTTGTGCCAAATTTGAACGCAATCGGCCCAGC